AATGTACACATTTTTTTATGTTAATACGTTTTTAATAAAAAATACTCAAAACTAAAAATAAAAAATATTTCGAACTTTTCAAAATATTTTTAGAACCAACCAATGATTTTTGAAGAATATTTTTTAAGGGCAACACGAGGCCTGGATTTTTGTAAAGAATATTTTTTCAGGGTCTACTATAAGGCGTGGCTTTTTTAAAGAATATTTTTTGCAGGGGCTACTATGAGGCGTGGATTTTTTAAAGAATATTTTTTGCAGGGGCTACTATGAGGCGTGGATTTTTTAAAGAATATTTTTTCAGGGATTACTTGAAGGCGTGGAATTTTTAAAGAATATTTTTTCAAGGATACAACCGCACAAGGCGTGAATTTTTTAAAGAATATTTTTTCAGAGATCCAACCACACAAGGCGTGGATTTTTTAAAGAATATTTTTTCAGAGATCCAACCACACAAGGCGTGGATTTTTTAAAGAAAATTTTTCAAAGGGATCCAACAACACAAGGCGTGGATTTTTTAAAGAAAATTTTTCAAAGGGATCCAACCACACAAGGCGTGGATTGTTTAAAGAATATTTTTCAAAGGGATCCAATCACACAAGGCGTGGATTTTTTAAAGAATATTTTTGAAAGGGACACAACCACACAAGGCGTGGATTTTTTAAAGAATATTTTTCAAAGGGATCCAACCACACAAGGCGGGGATTTTTTAAAGAATATTTTTTCAGAGATCCAACCACACAAGGCGTGGATTTTTTAAAGAATATTTTTTCAGCGATCCAACCACACAAGGCGTGGATTTTTTAAAGAATATTTTTTCAGCGATCCAACCACACAAGGCGTGGATTTTTTAAAGAATATTTTTTCAGCGATCCAACCACACAAGGCGTGGATATTTTAAAGAATATTTTTTCAGCGATCCAACCAAAAAAGGCGTGGATTTTTTAAAGAATATTTTTTTCAGAGATCCAACCACACAAGACTTGGATTTTTTAAAGAATATTTTTTCAGAGATCCAACCACACAAGCACTGGAATTTTTTAAATAATATTTTTTCAGAGATCCAACCACACAAGGCGTGGATTTTTTAAAGAATATTTTTTCAGAGATCCAACCACACAAGGCGTGGATTTTTTAAAGAATATTTTTTCAGAGATCCAACCACACAAGGCGTGGATTTTTTAAAGAATATTTTTCAAAGGGATCCAATCACACAAGGCGTGGATTTTTTAAAGAATATTTTTGAAAGGGACACAACCACACAAGGCGTGGATTTTTTAAAGAATATTTTTGAAAGGGACACAACCACACAAGGCGTGGATTTTTTAAAGAATATTTTTGAAAGGGACACAACCACACAAGGCGTGGATTTTTTAAAGAATATTTTTCAAAGGGATCCAACCACACAAGGCGTGGATTTTTTAAAGAATATTTCTCCAGCGATCCAACCACACAAGGCGGGGATTTTTTAAAGAATATTTTTTCAGCGATCCAACCACACAAGACTTGGATTTTTTAAAGAATATTTTTTCAGAGATCCAACCACACAAGCACTGGAATTTTTTAAATAATATTTTTTCAGAGATCCAACCACACAAGGCGTGGATTTTTTAAAGAATATTTTTTCAGAGATCCAACCACACAAGGCGTGGATTTTTTAAAGAATATTTCTCCAGCGATCCAACCACACAAGGCGGGGATTTTTTAAAGAATATTTTTTCAGCGATCCAACCACACAAGGCGTGGATTTTTTAAAGAATATTTTTCAAAGGGATCCAACCACACAAGGCGTGGATTTTTTAAATAATATTTTTTCAAAGGGATCCAACCACACAAGGCGTGGATTTTTTAAAGAATATTTTTCAAAGGGATCCAACCACACAAGGCGTGGATTTTTTAAAGAATATTTTTCAAAGGGATCCAATCACACAAGGCGTGGATTTTTTAAAGAATATTTTTGAAAGGGACACAACCACACAAGGCGTGGATTTTTTAAAGAATATTTTTGAAAGGGACACAACCACACAAGGCGTGGATTTTTTAAAGAATATTTTTGAAAGGGACACAACCACACAAGGCGTGGATTTTTTAAAGAATATTTTTCAAAGGGATCCAACCACACAAGGCGTGGATTTTTTAAAGAATATTTTTCAAAGGGATCCAACCACACAAGGCGGGGATTTTTTAAAGAATATTTTTTCAGCGATCCGACCACACAAGGCGTGGATTTTTTAAAGAATATTTTTCAAAGGGATCCAACCACACAAGGCGTGGATTTTTTAAAGAATATTTTTCAAAGGGATCCAACCACACAAGGCGTGGATTTTTTAAAGAATATTTTTCAAAGGGATCCAACCACACAAGGCGTGGATTTTTTAAAGAATATTTTTCAAAGGGATCCAACCACACAAGGCGTGGATTTTTTAAAGAATATTTTTCAAAGGGATCCAACCACACAAGGCGTGGATTTTTTAAAGAATATTTTTCAAAGGGATCCAACCACACAAGGCGTGGATTTTTTAAAGAATATTTTTCAAAGGGATCCAACCACACAAGGCGTGGATTTTTTAAAGAATATTTTTCAAAGGGATCCAACCACACAAGGCGTGGATTTTTTAAAGAATATTTTTTCCAACCACACAAGGCGTGGATTTTTTAAAGAATATTTTTCAAAGGGATCCAACCACACAAGGCGTGGATTTTTTAAAGAATATTTTTCAAAGGGATCCAACCACACAAGGCGTGGATTTTTTAAAGAATATTTTTCAAAGGGATCCAACCACACAAGGCGTGGATTTTTTAAAGAATATTTTTCAAAGGGATCCAACACACACAAGGCGTGGATTTTTTAAAGAATATTTTTCAAAGGGATCCAACCACACAAGGCGTGGATTTTTTAAAGAATATTTTTCAAAGGGATCCAACCACACAAGGCGTGGATTTTTTAAAGAATATTTTTCAAAGGGATCCAACCACACAAGGCGTGGATTTTTTAAAGAATATTTTTCAAAGGGATCCAACCACACAAGGCGTGGATTTTTTAAAGAATATTTTTCAAAGGGATCCAACCACACAAGGCGTGGATTTTTTAAAGAATATTTTTCAAAGGGATCCAACTACACAAGGCGTGGATTTTTTAAAGAATATTTTTGAAAGGGATCCAACCACACAAGGCGTGGATTTTTTAAAGAATATTTTTCAAAGGGATCCAACCACACAAGGCGTGGATTTTTTAAAGAATATTTTTCAAAGGGATCCAACCACACAAGGCGTGGATTTTTTAAAGAATATTTTTCAAAGGGATCCAACCACACAAGGCGTGGATTTTTTAAAGAATATTTTTCAAAGGGATCCAACCACACAAGGCGTGGATTTTTTAAAGAATATTTTTTTCAGCGATCGTTTTTATTTTTTATTTTTTACCCATGCCCATGTACAAATATCAATATTTATCTCCAAACAAAATTTAAAATTCTTAGAACACAATCAGTTATGATAGACACGATCTTGCAATTACTGAGGGTAATGTTAACTTTATAAGGAAATGTTTGTCACTAAAAAAAATATTAATTGTTTTTGGCAAGGCATTGTAAAGCCACAACCTAGACTCACGAGCCAAATATTAAATACAAAAAACAGACTTTATTTATTATGAATGCGTACCCATTAAATTTACCGAACAAGTAATTGCTTACATTTTAATAAACAATGATCTCTTGATCTCAGCTGATTAACACATGGCTGAGTTTTTTTTTTTCTTTCAAAGCACAACGCAAAAACCAGCTACCCACACCGCTTCTCATCGAGTGACACAAAACAGAGCTTTCAATTACGAATTGAAAAAATACTCAAAACAATTTATATTTCTGTTGAATTTTATTGTTTGTCTGAGTCGATCCCCACTCATTCAAACGCATCCCGCTATGCCCCCACACTCCCTTTTTCCACAAGAGCTCGAGCAGTTGACCTCATAGCCCAAAACATAGCTGATAAAAATCTCTCTCCGTGTGTTTTAGGTTTTGAGATATACTTGCGAATAGCTTTCACAAAACGTTCACAATTCCAACTAAATCAGTTCACACACAAGTGTGGTGTTGATAAGACTGAAAAAACAAAATCGTGGATCGTGGATCCAACCACACAAGGCGTGGATTTTTTAAAGAATATTTTTTACCCACCCTACGCTCATTTTTATTTTTTACATACAAATTTTTATTTTTTACTCATGCCCATGTACAAATATCAATATTTATCTCCAAACAAAATTTAAAATTCTTAGAACACAATCAGTTATGATAGACACGGTCTTGTAATTACTGAAGGTGATGTTAACTTTATAAGGAAATGTTTGTAAAAAAAAATATATTAATTGTTTTTGGCAAGGCATTGTAAAACCACAGCGTAGACTCACGAACCAAATATTAAACAAAAACTGAATTTATTATTAATGCGTACCCATTAAATTTACCGAGCAAGTAATTGCTTAATTATTAAAAAACAATGATCCCTTGATCTCAGCTGAGCGACACTTGGCTGAGTTTTTTTTTCAAAGCACAACTCAAAACACCAGCTACACACACCGCTTCCCACACAGTGACACAAAACAGAGCTTTCAATTACGAATTGAAAAAAAAAAATACTCAAAACAATTTATATTTCTGTTGAATTTTTATTGTTTGTCTGAGTGGATCCCCACTCATTGAATGACATCTCCCCACATTTCGCAGTCTCCCTCGCCCACAAGAGCTCCATCAGTTGACCTCATAGCCCAAAACACAGCTGATAAAAATCTCTCTCCGTGTGTTTTAGGTTTTGAGATACACTTGTGAATAGCTTTGACAAAACGTTCACAATTCCAACTAAATCAGTTCACACACAAGTGTGCTGTTGATAAGTTTGAAAAAACAAAATCGTGGCTTCTCGTTTTCGTTGGAATTATTTTAATTATCAGTTGAATCACTCGCAGATTTATTTTTCGAAGCTAATTTAATCTAGAATTTAGCTGGCAGTCATGAAATTTTGGCTGAATCTATTTGCCATAGTGGCATTGGGTCGCTTGACCCTAGCATTGGGTCCCAATATGATATGCTATTACGATGCTTCCAGTGAAGAGAGACAGGGTAAGTTATAGAAATAGAAAAAAATGCAATGATTCCGATGACTTTTAAAATGTAAATATATAATTTACGAATTTATTGTTGTTGTGTAACTATCGCCACTATGGGTTTTACGGCGATCTAGAAAAAATCCAATTGAAAAACAAATATAAATAGTTCAGCATTACTCATTTGTTTACATTGGGTTGCTATTAGTGTTTGAAATATAATTAACACATTTTATTGAAAAAATAGTATTAAAGCTATTAAATTTGATGGCCTGAGGCTTATACAAATAATATTTGAACTTCAAAAACACATTTATGGGCGATCAATTTTGTTTCTATTTATTCTGGAACTGTGTTGAACCAAAATAAACTAAATCGGATCATGACCTATGTCTCAATTAAAGTCAAATTGTCGTTATTACAAGTTGCCATTTGTTATGGCATTGATTTGCCAAACAGATTTATGGTCAAAGGAAGAATTTTGAAAGCCTCAAAGCGGATCAATAAAATGATTCGCTATTGGGCCCTATGTCGGCAAACGTGTGAGGAGATAAAATAATTGTGTTATACGCTACTGTTATCAGCAGACAAGAATGCAAAAAAAAAAAAATATTTAGTTCGTCCGGTGAAAGGTGGTATGTATTCCACAATGTATATCGTTATGCTATGTCAGAACTACCTCAACCATGAGGTGGACATTAAAAATACATAAAATCGGTCCACACCCCTATATTTGGCCATTGGTCTCAGACGAACAGAAAACATACATATTGCAAACATTTTATTAGGATTTTCAGTATCTATGGGGAAATATCAAAACGTGGACTTGGACTTGAAAATGCGCTTACGATTATTAAATCTGAGACCTATATTCTAATATGGATTTCGAACTCAAAGTACAAAATCAAAATACCTATAATGATGCTGGATCATTACATTGGGCATAAACCAAAGATCGAACAATATTTATAGTGTTTGACAGAAACACTGTCCAAGTAATTAGTATCAAAACAAAGGGCCGATATTTTTATATCCTCTGGACCTTTACCTTAAATCGGTCGGAACATTTATATAGAACTATGTTACTGCATTATGTGCTAGTAGGTTCTTCATGTTCTGCCAAAATAATGTTCACAATTGGAAAAATTAAATTAGAACCAGTTCGATAGAAAAACATGGCCAAATCCCCCAACTACCGAATAATCGGGGTACCATTATATGAGAGCAAACCGGAACCTTGGATCAATTTTGATAATTTCGGGAGAAATGTTTTCTTCCCAATGAGAAACCAAAATATAAAATTACAACCAATTTGCTGTGAGAGGTGCTCAAACACCCGAACTTTAGGTGAGGGCCTACCAGGAAGCTTCCATATGAGGTGGGTATTCATAATATGTGAAACTGAAATTTACTGAACTGAAACAACGGTACCCCCGTTGTATTTATTCGGGCTATACCAAAACGTATTGCAATGTATTTCAATGCTCTAACATAAATATGGCATTCTCTACAATGACTTTCAACAATAAGACGCACATCGACATTAAATTTTATTTTTAGAAATATCGAATACCAAGTTAAAACCAGTAAGGAAAGTAGTAAAGTCGAACGGTGCCGACTATATGATACCCTTTACCACTTTGGATATATTCAAGAGATGTATCCTAACAGACTTCGCATTTTTTACTTCAATCAGGGTATAGGGTATAGGCATACTAGGCATTATTGTAGACCCATTTCGATATGTTACGCATAATGTTGTGTCAATGGGACACAGTTTAACTCTTTCGTGCACTACTAATAAATGGGAGATATATCTAAATTGACACCGATTTCAATAAAACTTGACACATGTTAGGCTATACTAACGTTAGTACATTGCAAAATTTTTTGCCAATCGGCTTAAACGTAACATATTTGACTACGTTGTACCAATCGGCCTAAATTCGACTCTTTTGTGCACCATTTCCTAAAAATGGGACTAAATATATAGCTATATCAAAATTTGAACGAATTTCAATAAAACTTGGCACACGTTAGGCTATCCTAACTTCAGTATGTTGTGGAAAATGTCGTGTCATTCGGCCTAAATTTGACTCTTTGGTGCACAATTCACTGAAAATCGGACGAAAATATATATGGCATCGGACGAAAGTCTATATGGGAGCTATATCTAAATCAGAACCGATTTTAATAAAACTTGGCACACGTTAGACCATCCAAATTTCAGTCCGTTGTGCAAAATTGTGTGTCAATCGGCCTAAATTTGACACTTTGGTGCACCATTTTCTAAAAATCGGACGAAATTATATATGGGAGCTATATCTAAATCTGAACCGATTTCCATAAAACTTGGCACACGTTAAACTGTCCAAACTTCAGTACGTCGTGCAAAACTTCGTGCCATTCGGCCTAATTTTGATTCTTTGGTACACAATTCACTAAAAATCAAACGAAATTATATATGGAAGCTATATATAAATCTGAACCGATTTCAATGAAACTTGACACACCATAGGCTATCCCAATTTCAGTCTGTTGTGCAAAATTTGGTGCACCATTTTCTAAAAATCGGACGAAATTATATTTGGGAGCTATATTTAAATCTGAACCGATTTTTTCCAATTTCAATAGGGTTCGTCCTTGAGCCAAACAAATGGACTGTGCCAAATTTCATCCAATTCGGATCATAAGTGCGACCTGTACTTTGATTACAATTTAACATGGACAGACGGATGGAGAATATGGAGAATAAGTGATTCTATGCATATTCTCAAAAGGAACCATAGGTCTATCTCGTTTCCTTTTTCCTGTAACAAACATATGCATCCTGTACCATAGTGTGGTAAAGGGTATAAAAAATCATCCGCACCTCTCCTCTGTTACGACTGGGGAAAACAAAATTACATAGTACAAGCCACATTGTTTAGAAACTGTTACTAAAACTTCCAAATTCCAAACATGTGGAACTGAGTCGCTTTTCCTTGGGACCCTCAAAATTCTTATAATTACGGATATATTAAAAAATTCCGGGGACGTCTTTTATACTCTCGAGAACTCGAACTGCCAATTTTTATACACAACTTTTGAACAATTCAGTTAGAGCAAGGAATATACCAAAGAAGAAAAACTGTCGTTATGTTTGACTCGGCCCAACATAAAAATACGGAAAATCGGTGGTCATTATCTGCTAAGAAATTCATCACACGGAAAACGGAAGACCTTAATAACTCCCATATTAAGACCTATATTGAACATCATCTGTACATAATGCCAAATTACGGGCACTGCGTCAGTACAGTTTTTTTACCGTCCAAGAACTCACAATTTATACATTTTGACATAATCCCCATATAAAGGTCCATAATTTTATAGTTCGACGATGCCGAACTTAACGATCTTTAAACATGTTTAAGATGTGTGATAATAAAAGAAGTCACAGGAACGAACAAAATTCGTTAGTATTATTTCACGAATGATTCGTCACCTGTGACGTTCATTTAAAAGTGATTTGAAGCAACGCAATGGTAATTTTTAACCTTCTTTTAGAGTAGGTCTATGTTCATCCTGAAGCGGTTCGCTCTTTTTCGGTGCGATCCAACAAAAGATACGTTATATTTATTGCTGAACGATTGGATCAGAAGGAACTAGGCGATCGAGAGCAACATTGAACGAGTGAAAGAATCGGAACTAGTTCCGATTGTCCTTTTGCGGAATGTTTCCTTTGAATTATTTCGTTCCGGAACCACCCAACTTTACCTTTTTCACTGTCAGGTGCTTATGCAATATCAAATGTGTGCTAGTGGCATGCCACATGTTAATTTAATTGTATCACGCGCGGAATCAATTATTTTCGTGTTTGAGCAAACGTCCGACACGATGGAATTCATTAAACAGGGCAAGGACTATGGGAAAGTGTTTCATCTCCTTATTTACGAGTCAATTTCATTTTTTTTTTTGTTTAATCGCAATTCCCCAAGTGTGTTCTGCTGTTGGTATCTTTTTCCAATATTTTCATTCACGGTTTACTAGTTTCAATTTGGACCTCCATTAGAATAACTCTATGAGGTAATTGATTGGTACTTATAAATTTTATAATATATACATTTAGTACAAAATACTAAAGTGTAAACTTTCGTCTGAACTAATTTCCAAAATTTTAAAAACATTTAATTAATGATCTTATGGAGAACTTCTCTTCTATAACCTTTAGGCACCTTTAAGAGAAAATAGAAGAGGAGGTAGATAATGGAGACCTAATATTTGAAAAAAATATATATTTTATATAATTTTATTTATGATTATTTGAAAATGTCGATTTTTTGCATTGAATAATGTCTCACCCAATTTCTCTCTCCCTCTTCTTCTCTTTTCTCTCTTAAGGTGCGGCTAAATTTGCTCTGCCCGACATTGAGACGGCCATACAATTCTGTACACACTTCGTTTATGGTTATGCCGGTATAAATCCCGAAACATTTGAGCTGATGAGTTTGAATACCCAACGTGATTTACAGAGGCGTCATTTTGCCACAGTGACCTCCTTGAAAGATCGTTATCCCAATACGAAATTCCTTCTAAGTGTTGGTGGTGATAAGGATTTACAAAATCCTGAAAAATATGTTAACCTCTTGGAAGCTGGCCGTGAGAAACAAAATAAATTTATTGAATCGGCCCGTGAGGTGTTGCGTAGCTATAATTTCGATGGTTTAGATTTGGCATTCCAATTGCCACGCAATAAACCACGTAAAGTCCACTCGGATGTCGGACAGGCATGGAAGTCGTTTAAGAAACTTTTCACTGGAGATTATGTGGTCGATGAGAAGGCTGCCGATCACAAGGAACAATTTACGGATTTGGTTAAGGATTTGAAGGCCGCATTTACCCCTTACAATATGATGTTGTCGTTGACAGTGTTGCCAAATGTTAATTCGTCATGTAAGTTGAAGTGGATTTTCTTTTTTGTGGAGATTTTTGAAAAGTAATTTGTTGTTGGATTTTCTTTAGGGTACTTCAATGCCCCTGCCATTATTGATAGTCTGGATTTTGTTACCTTGAGTGCTTTTGATTTTACCACCCCCGAACGTAATCCCGAAGAGGCTGATTACACCGCTCCCACCTATGCTCCAGTGCAGCTAGGCAATCGTCTGCCCCATTACAATGTTGACTACCAGGTTGAACATTGGCTTGCCCAGAAGGTACCGGCAAATAAAATCAATGTTGGTGTTGCCACATATGGTAGAGCATGGAAAATGACCGAGGATTCAAATGCTGATGGTGTACCAATTGTTGCCAAAACTGATGGTGCAGCTCCCGCTGGACCAGAAAGTAAAACCCCTGGCCTCTTGACATGGTCGGAAATCTGCATGAAATTAGCCAATCCCATTAATATGGGCAAGACCGGTGCTGATGCCCCACTGCGACGTGTAATGGATCCGACCAAGCGTTTTGGTGTCTATGCCTTCCGTGCTGCCGACTCTAATGGTGAACATGGCATGTGGGTGAGCTATGATGATCCCGGAACTGCTGCCGATAAGGCTATTTATGTCAAGAATCGTGGTCTGGGTGGTATTGGTTTGTTTGACCTATCTATGGATGATTTCCGTGGCACCTGTACCGGTGATAAATTTCCCATGTTAAGATCCATGAAATATCGTTTAATGTGAGAGAGGCAAAGAGGGAGCGAGATGATTAATCTCAAATGAAAAAATATAGCTTTTGTTGTTATTATTGTAAATAATATGTGATCATGATCGTTATCGAATCGAATAAATTTTTCACTTTTATAGAATACTAAGAATATTTGTTGTTTGTATGTGTGTGTATTGGTGTTGTTGTTGTATTGATGTCATTGGTACGTTTTGTTTTAATTGCGGTTTTCCATATTTATTCCGAACGCATTATGACTGGAATATGATAATATATTTAATTTATTTAAATACCATAATAGTAATCAGTGACTTATTAGAAATAATGAGTTTTTTTTTAATTATATTCAGAATGCATCTACATATTATGAATTAATTAAGGAATGCATTTGAATATGGAAGTAGTACGTGACATTTCTGAAAAAATCCAAGTTAATGAGCTCACACTATCACTTGAAGATATTTTTCATTTGAAATATTTTTAATTGATAAGCAAAATTTTTGGCAGCGATATGGACTTTTTTCGCTTATTTAGGCCAAGGACGAAGCCTATTGAAATTGGGAAAAATCGGTTGAGATTTAGATATAGCTCCCATGTATATTTTCGTCCGATTTAAGGTAAATGGGGCACCAAAGTCCCTCTATATCTTTTGATTTGCACGAAATTTGGCACAGAGTACTGAATTAGGTACAGAATGATGTGTGCCAAGTTTCGAGAAAATCGGTTCAGATTTAGATATAGCTCCCATATATAGTTTTGTTCGATTTTATGTAAATGGTACACCAAAGTCCCTATAAACCGTTCGATTTGCATGAAATTTGGCACAGCGTACTAAATTAAGTCTAGAAGGACGTGTGCCAAGTTTCGAGAAAATCAGGTCAGATTTATATGTAGCTCCAATATATATTTTCGTCCCATTTTAGGTAAATGGGTCTCCAAAGCCCCTACACATCTCTCGATTTCTGCGAAATTTGGCATAGGGTACTGAATTGGGTCCAGAATGACGTGTGCCAAGTTTCAAGAAAGTCGGTTTAGATTTATTTATAGCTCCCATATATATATATATATATATATATATCCGTCCGATTTAAGGTAAATGGGGCTCCAAAGACCCTATATATCTTTCGAATTTGGCATAGGGTACTGAATTAGGACCAGAATGAAGAGTGCTAAGTTTCGTGAAGATCGGTAGAGATTTAAATATAGCTCCAATATATACTTTCGTCCGATTTCATATAAATTGTGCACTAAAAAACCGAAGATTGGGCGACCCCAATGTACTAAAGACCCATAGCTAGGCCGATTGGCAAAATGTACTGGAGTCTCAGGCCTATAGGTAAAGGTCGCATTTTTAAGTTCGTTCAATTTCATGTCAATGTTACTTCGAAAAGACATCTGTAAAGATACATATGTAGAATATCGTCAAAGTGGTGAAGGGTATCATATAGTCGGCCCAGTCCGACTTTACTACTTTCCTTACTGGTTCAAATTTAAATTATGTTTTAAGATGATGAATTTTAGAACATTATTTCCTTGCACAAAAAATTAAATTCTACTACAAAAAATCCTTCTAAAAAAAAATATGAAATGGCGCCCAACGTTGAGTCAAAATTGTATTTGAAAGCACCCTTGCTCCATTTGAACAATTCTCGAAAATATTTCATTAACATCCACCTACATACAAATATGTTGCTTGGCGCCCAACGAAAGGCCTTGAAATATTCAATCCTGGAGTTAAACCCCACGTTCTTTTGGACCAATTACGTTTCAGATAATTATGAGTCGATTTCCGACATTCATTCCTTCAAATTAAAACAAGTTTGCAGATGAGAGACCATATTCGACAATATTGTCTTCCACTTTATCTTTTCACCTTACTCGTGGCCTTCCCCTTCTGCGTGAACCATCAGCAGGTTCGCTTTTATATGCCTTTTGAGCTAGGGCATCTTTATGCATTATCACGACATGACATAGCCAACGTAGTCGCTGCAGTCCGATACGTCTGGTAATAGATGGTACAACTAATGGTTCAGATCGACCCATAGATCTTTCGGATATTTTTTTGTTTTAAATACTCAAAGAGCTGCCTCATCCGCTTGCGTAAGTACCCATTCTTCAGATCCATACAACAACACGGGTAGTATCATCGTCTTGTAAACTGTGTGTTTGGTCTGGCGGGGGATGGCCTTATTTTTAAACTGCTTACTTAGATCATAGTAGAATCTGTTGGCCAACACTACCTCGAAGCTGTAGTTCTCAAGTTCCACAATTGGTCCGAGTCTATTAAACGTCTTACGCGTTGAAACCATCAGCTTGGTCTTCTCGCCGTTTACTGCCAGACCCACTTTGGCAGACTCCTTCTCAATTTGTTCAAATTTTGTTTGTCGACGTCATCAGCGTAGGCTAGTAGCATGTGTTGTTTTGTGTACAAAGTGCCATTTCTGTTCATCTTTGCCTCTCTTATGACCTTTTCCACCAGGATGATAAAAAGGCCACACGATAAACTGTCACCATGTCTGAATCCTCGTTCGGTATTAAAAAGCTGAGAGGGGTCCTTTCCGACTTTAACTGCTGATCTCGTGTCATTTAAAGCTATCGTGCATAGCCGTATTAATTTTTTAGGAATGCCAAACGCATAGGCCGACGAATGCGGCTTTATAGTCGGCGAATAGGTGGAATGAGTCGATGTGTTTTTCGTGGGCGCTGAGTGAAAATCTGGTCAATGGTAGATTTGCCAGGTCTGAAGCCGCATTGGTATGGTCCAATAATGTCCTTGGCCATTGGCTTCAGAATCACACAGAAGCTATATGCCAGAAGCTATTCAGTTGGCACATATCGTCTTGCCTCCTTTTTCCTGCACGGGACACGCTGTGTGTATTCATGCATTCACCTGGTTTACTTATCAGCTGGTGAATGCTCCTGACCAGCATCTGACCAACAGATTTGAATAGTTCGGTTGGCAATCCATCGGCACCTGTTGCTTTATTAGTCTTCAGACGATCGTTTCTCTTCTCTCCTTTTCTCCCGATAATTCTCCATCGCATTAGGTGTTGCTACTGTCTGTAGGGTTTCCCTATACGCTGCGTTTTTCACATCAGTGGCATTACGACACTCCTGATCGTACCATGGGTTTTTGATGATGGTTTTTGATACCCAAGTGTGGCTTTTGCTGCAGTTTGAAGGGAGTGGGCTATTCTTTGATATTATGCTTCTAAACTATTGTCGGGACAAGAAGTGCTTTTGGCCAGCAGGTGGGTAAATTGAGCGGAGTAGGACTCTGCTAGATCGCACCTTTGCTACTATATTAAGACGGGTGCGAACCTTGGCTGCCACAAGGTAATAGTCCGAATCGATTTTCCTTTTCGTTGGTTTTTCATAGTAGGAGATGTTTTCTATGTATGCAACTAACCCGACGCCTCAACTCGGCTTATATCAGCTCACTATTTCAACGGTTGATGGAAATAGCTACCCATATTACACCGCGGTGAGGTCAGTGTCCACAATTGAGATGAAAGAGGTCCCTCTTTCATCTCAATGTTAAAGCCAATCAGAACCGTTGTCACCCGTCATAGAACGTCCTTAGAAAATATTCCTTTAAAAATCCAGGCATATAGTTCTAATTATCCCTACATAAACGCGTTTATATTTCTAAAGAATTATATTCTTTATAAAATAGCTGTACTAATAAAAGTCGCCTTCAAAAATCGATAGAACTTCGATGATCCTTAAAAAATTCGATAGATAATTAACCAATATTTTGTTGCTCTTTTTTCCAGGTGATGCAAAATTCACTCTTCACGATATGGACTACGCCCTGCAATTTTGTACACACATCGTGTACGGTTATGCCGGCATAGATCCTGAAACATTTGAACTAATCAGTTTGAATGTGCAACGTGATGTCAAGCGGAGGCATTTCAATGCTGTTACAGAACTAAAAGATCGTTACCCTCTAACAAAATTCCTGCTAAGCGTGGGCGGTGATGCCGATTTGCAGCAACCAGAAAAATATATAAAACTATTAGAGTCGGGACGAGCAAATCAAACAAAATTCATTGAATCAGCACGTGATGTATTGAGGGCGTATAATTTCGATGGTCTCGATTTGGCATTCCAATTTCCACGCAATAAACCCCTCAAGGTTCATTCGGAAATTGGCCAAGTGTGGAAGTCATTTAAGAAAATGTTTACCGGCGATCACATTGTCGATGAGAAATCCGATGAACATAAGGAACAATTTACAGAATTGGTAAAGGATTTAAAGACCGCATTTAGGCCATATGATTTGATGTTGACACTGACCGTGTTGCCGAATGTTAATTCGTCATGTAAGCCAGAATATCAGGATTATTATTTTATTTGTTTTTTAATGTTTAAATTTAATCCCTTAGGGTACTTTAATGCTCCTGCCATTATTAACAACTTGAATTACGTCAATTTGGCTGCCTTCGATTTCACCACCCCTGAACGTAATCCCAAGGAGGCTGACTATACAGCACCCTTGTTCCCACCACCTGCTGAGGGAAATCGCCAGGGCCATTACAATATCGATTATCAAATTGACCACTGGGTCTCACAGCGGGTACCGCATAGTAAAATTAATGTCGGCATTGCCGCTTATGGTAGAGCTTGGAAAATGACTGCCGAATCGAAGGCAGATGGTCTACCCATAGTACCGAATACTGATGGTCCAGCGAAGGCCGGTGTGGAAACTAAAATTCCTGGTATTTTAAAATATTCAGAAATCTGTCAGCTGACAAGTCCATGGAAGGTTGATCGCAAAGACGATGAAGCTCCTTTGAAGAGGGTGATTGATCGGACACGAAAATACAATGTCTATGCTTATCGTTCCGCGGATAGTCATGGTGAAAATGGTTTATGGGTCAGTTTTGACGACTTGGAGTCGGCTGGCACTAAAGCGACCTATGTGAAAAATCGTGGTCTTGGCGGTGTGGCGTTATTTGACTTAAGCTTGGATGATTTCCGTGGCACCTGCGATGGAGATAAGTTTCCCTTGCTTAGAACCATTAAAATAAAGTTATTGTAAATAATTTCTGTATACTTATTTAAAATATATAAAAAAATATATTTTTTTAAATTTTTTTGGAAAATAAAAATATTTCTAAAAAAAAATCTAACCGCACAAAAAATATTAAAAACCAGTGAGCGAAGCAGTATACTCGGACGGGGCCGACAATTTGATACCCTGATTACCTGATTTCGCTGAAAATTATAGGCGTTGTCCTTAACCATAACTGGAACCTCATGGAAAATATCAAAGCGATCCGAGCCATATTTCCGCCCTCTAGTGTGGTAATGGGTTACTAAAAATCTCCGGGTACGTAAGAACATGTAAATATGTACGTATAACTCAAACATCCGAGTACATACGACAATGTAATTGGTATCAATTTAAAGAGCATCCACTCCTCTTGGATATACCATCAACTTTTCGAGTCTATGTCCTTCGGGAGTAAATATATTCACCATAGAATACAAATTTTGTAATTTTTCACACAAAAGTCAGGGTCCATTTGACCCGCTAAATATTGACAGATTTTTGTCAAAACAGGCATGCTCATTCTTTGGCCCAACCGGCCTCTGGAGCCACCAGAAAAACTGACAAAAATTTAGTATTTGGTCCCTTTCATCCCCTAAATATTAACCGATCTTTACCAATAACAATAGGGGTCTTCATTGGACAGAACCCATCCTACATGCAAAATTTCGTGAAGATTCGTCCATAACTGTGGCCTGTAACGTGTTTACAAATTATAATGGACAGACGGACACACATGTCTAGATTGACTCAGCTAGTCGAGATATGACGATCAGTATACTTGAAGGTGGGTCTAGGACCAATATTTCGCGGCGTTACAAACTATAATGCACAAAACTATAATACCCTGACAACATAGTTGTGTAGGGTATAAAAATGTATTTTATAAATCTAACCCCAAAATCAATCCTTTAAAAAAGTTTAGTTTAAAAATCTAGGCTAGAATCCTTGAAAAATATGTTCAAAAAATCCTAAGAGAATCCTCCTTCACAAATTTAGGCTTGTAGAAGTCCTTGGAAAAAATCCTCCTTAAAAAATTGGGACTGTTATAACTCCTTGAAAAATCCTCCTTCAAAAATCGAGGCTTGTTGAAGTCCTTGAAAAAAACCCTCCTTCAAAAGTCGGGGCTTATGGAAGTCCTTGAAAAATCCTCCTTCAAATATCGAGGTTTGTGAAAGTCCTAGTTAAAAAATGAAATCTTCTAGAAGTCCTTGAAAATCCTCTTTAAAAAATCTAGGCTTGTAAGAATCCTTGAAAAATATGTTCAAAAAATCCTAAGAGAATCCTCATTAACAAATCTAGGCTTGTAGAAGTCCTTGGAAAAAATCCTCCTTTAGAAATTGAGACTTGTATAAGTCTTTGAAAAATCCTCCTTCAAAAATCGGGGCTTGTGGAAGTCTCTTTCAAAAATCGAGTCTTGTTGAAGTCCTCCTTCACAAATCTAGGCTTGTAGAAGTCCTTGGAAAAAATCCTCCTTAAAAAATTGAGACTTGTATAAGTCCTTGAAAAATCCTCCTTCAAAAATCGGGGCTTGTGGAAGTCTCTTTCAACAATCGAGTCTTGTTGAAGTCCTCGAAAAACCCTCCTTCAAAAGTCGGGGCTTATGGAAGACTTTGAAAAATCCTCCTTCAAAATTGAGGCTTGTGGAACTCCTTGAAAAATCCTCCTTCAAAAATCGAGGCTTGTAGAAGTCCTGGAAAACCCCTCCTACAAAAATTGAGGCTTGCGAAGACCTTTAAAAACCCTCCTACAAAAATTGAGGCTTGCGAAGACCTTTAAAAACCCTCCTTAAAAAGTGTGGTTGGATCGCTAAAAAAAACCTGAAAACATATTTTTTAAAAAATCCACGCCTTGTGTGGTTGGATCGCTAAAAAAAACCTGAAAACATATTTTTTAAAAAATCCACGCCTTGTGTGGTTGGATCGCTGAAAAAATATTCTTTAAAAAATCCACGCCTTGTGTGGTTGGATCGCTAAAAAAACCTGAAAAAATATCCACGCCTTGTGTGGTTGGATCGCTAAAAAAACCTGAAAAAATATCCACGCCTTGTGTGGTTGGATCGCTGAAAAAATATTCTTTAAAAAATCCACGCCTTGTGTGGTTGGATCGCTGAAAAAATATTCTTTAAAAAATCCACGCCTTGTGTGGACCCTTTTGTGTGGATCGCTGAAAAAATATTCTTTAAAAAATCCACGCCTTGTGTGGTTGGATCGCTGAAAAAATATTCTTTAAAAAATCCACGCCTTGTGTGGTTGGATCGCTGAAAAAATATTCTTTAAAAAATCCACGCCTTGTGTGGTTGGATCGCTGAAAAAATATTCTTTAAAAAATCCACGCCTTGTGTGGTTGGATCGCTGAAAAAATATTCTTTAAAAAATCCACGCCTTGTGTGGTTGGATCGCTGAAAAAATATTCTTTAAAAAATCCACGCCTTGTGTGGTTGGATCGCTGAAAAAATATTCTTTAAAAAATCCACGCCTTGTGTGGTTGGATCGCTGAAAAAATATTCTTTAAAAAATCCACGCCTTGTGTGGTTGGATCGCTGAAAAAATATTCTTTAAAAAATCCACGCCTTGTGTGGTTGGATCGCTGAAAAAATATTCTTTAAAAAATCCACGCCTTGTGTGGTTGGATCGCTGAAAAAATATTCTTTAAAAAATCCACGCCTTGTGTGGTTGGATCGCTGAAAAAATATTCTTTAAAAAATCCACGCCTTGTGTGGTTGGATCGCTGAAAAAATATTCTTTAAAAAATCCACGCCTTGTGTGGTTGGATCTCTGAAAAAATATTCTTTAAAAAATCCACGCCTTGTGTGGTTGGATCGCTGAAAAAATATTCTTTAAAAAATCCACGCCTTGTGTGGTTGGATCGCTGAAAAAATATTCTTTAAAAAATCCACGCCTTGTGTGGTTGGATCGCTGAAAAAATATTCTTTAAAAAATCCACGCCTTGTGTGGTTGGATCGCTGAAAAAATATTCTTTAAAAAATCCACGCCTTGTGTGGTTGGATCGCTGAAAAAATATTCTTTAAAAAATCCACGCCTTGTGTGGTTGGATCGCTGAAAAAATATTCTTTAAAAAATCCACGCCTTGTGTGGTTGGATCGCTGAAAAAATATTCTTTAAAAAATCCACGCCTTGTGTGGTTGGATCGCTGAAAAAATATTCTTTAAAAAATCCACGCCTTGTGTGGTTGGATCGCTGAAAAAATATTCTTTAAAAAATCCACGCCTTGTGTGGTTGGTTGCATCGCTGAAAAAATATTCTTTAAAAAATCCACGCCTTGTGTGGTTGGATCGCTGAAAAAATATTCTTTAAAAAATCCACGCCTTGTGTGGTTGGATCGCTGAAAAAATATTCTTTAAAAAATCCACGCCTTGTGTGGTTGGATCGCTGAAAAAATATTCTTTAAAAAATCCACGCCTTGTGTGGTTGTGTCCTTTCAAAAATATTCTTTAAAAAATCCACGCCTTGTGTGGTTGGGTCCCTTTCAAAAATATTCTTTAAAAAATCCACGCCTTGTGTGGATGGGACCCTGAAAAAATATTCTTTAAAAAATCCACGCCTTGTGTGGATGGGACCCTGAAAAAATATTCTTTACAAAATCCACGCCTTGTGTGGATGGGACCCTGAAAAAATATTCTTTAAAAAATCCACGCCTTGTGTGGATGGGACCCTGAAAAAATATTCTTTAAAAAATCCACGCCTTGTGTGGATGGGACCCTGAAAAAATATTCTTTAAAAAATCCACGCCTTGTGTGGATGGGACCCTGAAAAAATATTCTGAAAAAATATTCTTTAAAAAATCCACGCCTCTTATAGACCCCTGAAAAAATATTCTTTAAAAAATCCACGCCTGAAAAAATATTCTTTAAAAAATCCACGCCTTGTGTGGTTGGATCGCTGAAAAAATATTCTTTAAAAAATCCACGCCTTGTGTGGTTGGATCGCTGAAAAAATATTCTTTAAAAAATCCACGCCTTGTGTGGTTGGATCGCTGAAAAAATATTCTTTAAAAAATCCACGCCTTGTGTGGTTGGATCGCTGAAAAAATATTCTTTAAAAAATCCACGCCTTGTGTGGTTGGATCGCT